TAACAAGGATATAGTCACTGATTACGGCCAGTCCTAATTTACATGACCTCATCTTAATGATAGCATTTTCTGGAGTTCCAGGTGGACATGAATTTGTAGAGGATACTGTTCAGTCCAATGCCCCCTTCCAGCCATGGTTCTTTCTCCTTCCTCCCTCATGGGCTTCTTCACTCACTCAGATACCACACATTGGTGAGAATTCACAGATAGAAAAGGACAAAAAGACTTTGAAGTGGAGGAAGGTGGTTTCCCATGAGGCCATGGAGAAGATGAAATTAGATCTGAGTTTCAAAATGGTAAGATTTGGTTTGGTTTGGTTTTGATAGTACTGAAAATTAAACACAACCTTTTCCCTGAGCTACATCTCCACCTTTTAATTTTTTTTTTTTTTCTTTTTCTTTTTTGGTACTGGAGATTGAACTCAGGTCCTTGTGCTTGGGAAGCAGGCGGTGGAACCACTGAGCTAAATCCCCAGCCCATTGTGTTTTTTGTTTGTTTGTTTTGGTACTGGGGATCGAACTCGGGTCCTTGTGCTTGTGAGGTAGGCAGTGGAACCACTGAGCTAAATCCCCGGCTCTACCTTTTTATTTTTTAATTTTGAGACAAGGTCTCTTAGACCCTGAGGCTGAGTTTGGACTTGTGACTCCTGCCTCACCCTCCCAGAATGCTAGGATTACAGCACAACCTTGTGTGACTTTGTTTTGTTTGTTTTTATTTTTATTACCTTCTTGCACTTTGGGACACAGTTCAGATGTTACTTCTTGCTTACAGCCTTTGTGAATCTCCTCTTCGGTGAGTGATTCTATTTTCTCTGTGCTCAACACTTTCATATTCTATGGCCATTACATCCATATTTTGATTAATTATTAGGCCTCTGTGATCCTGGTGAGGGTTATGTACTTAGTTTGTGGGGGCCATGCGTTCAACCTGCTGCCTGTTACTAAGCATGTGCCCAAGAATAAACTTACCCACCTGCTGGGGCCAGGAATCTAGCTCAGCAGCACAGCACCTGCCAGCAAGGAAGCCCTGAGTTCAATTCCCAGTACCAAAATAAATAAAAATAATTTACCCACCTGCATTTAATTCTATAAAACAAAATCACAGACATTGCAGGGAGCCGCATGGATGATTCTCTTCCTTAGATGAGGAAGAAGGAACTTAACCGTGAAGGGGGTTGTACTGGATCACCTTCTAGTCTCCTTCTACACAGAGGTTCTGTGTTCTCACTACAGCTCCTTCTGGAAGGCAAATAAATAGGCCAAAAATTGTGATTAGAAAAAATTATTTGGCTCCACATTGCTTTGAAAAGTCTCACCATGTAAGAGCTTGGAGCTGATGGGGACATGGTACAGCGTGCTGCAGCCGTGGCCCTGACAGAGGCTGAGCGTCTCAGGCTTAACATGGCCTGGATGGAGCTCAGGGGCGAAGCCAGTGTTGTCCAGCAGGTACACTTAGAGTGCTGCAGCGGACCTGTGTTTCTTATTTGACCCAAACAAGTATTCGAATTGTCATTAAATGCTTTTGGGACTCGTATTTCTGTTGAATTGATTTTATTACTGAAAGTGGTCTTCTTAGTTTTGGTGAGGGGTGGGGGGGGCTTAACTGAGTTAACCAAGAAATGGGGCATTCAATTGATACACCACCAAGGTATGAGGGTATTTGAGGGGAAAACTACACTCAGTACCTAATAGTTGAAAGAATTCCTGGGATAAAGGGACATCAATACGTATTTGAGAGATAGTCATTGAAATATTCATTATACTGTGAGACTTCAGAGATAACTTGATATCGAATTGTTAGAGAATATTTAGGATATTTGATAAGATTGCATTGTGGGTTTTAGAGTAAATGCCACACAGTAATGGGAAACATCTAATGTGAAATAATACTAGATTGAGAAAGCAAAATGCAAAAGATATGTATTTGCTCAAACCAAATAAAAAAGTGAGAATGAAATATACTACAGTGATGAGTTTAGGAGCTATAATTGTAGCTATTTTGCTTTTTTAGTTTTAAAATATGTATAATGCATTGGTATTTCTGTAAATTTAGTTCTTAAAAAGTATCATAATAACCAAATAGTTACAGTGGCATTTTTGTAACATTAAAAAAAAAACCTAGTAGATTTAAATTTTTTTGTAATTACAATGAGCTGTGCTGAATTATTTATTGATACTAATTATTGCATCACTTGGACACGTTAGAAAACTTGTCACAGACTACGAGCAGTCACTTTTTAATTTAGGGGAACAGTTTGAGGTAAAATGTTTTTATTCAAATAGCTTTGAAATAAAAGTGATTATAACCATATTTCACAAGTCCAAGTTAGAAATAATTTCAGCCCTGGTTTCCGGAGGAACTGACTGGCTCTCTTGGTCATGCAAGCAGTACAAGCTCCAAGCAGCTCCACTTTTACATAAAGGACAACTGTCAGAGTGGGCAGGAACTGAAGAACCTGGCTTCTTCCTGTGCCACGCTATGAATTATATAGCCAAATTTCAGCTATTCACAGCTTGCTGCATGCGTCACTGTGCTTATCAGCTCTCTGCAAATTGGGCTAATGATTTTGTGAAGTGCCATCCCATGCCAGGGCCCCAAAGTAAAGCTGTATTGATGAGAGAGAGCTTGGCAGAGTTTCAGGGTCTTTTTTATTTATTATTCTCTTTCTTCTAGGGCAGGAATTCCTAATGTGGATCTTAATAGTGTCAGGAGTCTGTGAACTGGGATACAAAGTAGATGAAAGCTTTTTCATTCACTTTGTTTTTTCTCTCTCTCATTGAGTTATTGGTACATTTTAGGTGTACAGTACAGTTATATTCATCATTGGGATCTTGTACCTTTACATGACAGGGCTTGGTTCTCATATTTTCCCCATATCCCCGCCCTCCCTTCACCCTCTCCTCCCTTCCCTATTTACAAATACTTTATTTCCATTTTTTCATTTTTCATATTTTAACATTAAAATAATTGTGTATGCCAACAATCCATAGTGGTGCTGTCACCAATATAACTTGCAGGTACTGTAGAATATTGTTTATGCATCACTACTTCAAGATTAAGATTAGACCTTAGTGGCTCCTCTGTAATGTGTTAATGTGGGACCCCATGCAAAGTTGAGGGTTTGTTGTTGTTGTTGTTGTTTGGTACTGGGGATCAAACTCAGGACCTTGCACTTGCACAGCAGGCAGTAGGACCACTGAGCTAAATCCCCAGCCCTAAAGTTGTTTTTTAAAAAATGAAAACCAAGCCCTGTCATGTAAAGGTACAAGATCCCAATGATGAATGTAACTATAGTATATACCTAAAATGTACCAATAAACTCAATGAGAGGAAAAAAAAATATTTCAGTAACTTTTTCAGAAGCTCCCCAGTTTACAAATGAGTTCCATTCTGGGAGCACATTCATAAGTCAGATTTGTTCATACCTGACAAAGTGCATCTTGCATAGTACACCTGTGAACTTTGCAACTTGAAGTGCAAGCAAGGAAAGACGGGAGTTTTCTCAGAACTAGGGGACCAAGGAGACATAGGACAAGTAACTGCAATAGGTCCTCAGACTGGGTCCTGGAACATAAGGAAGAGAGCAGTGGAAAAACTAGTGAAATTCAGATACAAGTCTAGAGTTTAGCTTACAGTGTCGGAGTCAGTTTCTCAGTCTAGATACGTATGCCAGGTGCTCACAGCAATGGAGCCAGATGAGGGCCGGTTTCATGGGAGTGGTCTTCAGTGTAGTGAGAGCCATAGTGTGGGCTCTGCTGCCTACTGCCAGAGATGTTTTGGGTGAGAGTTTTATGTCAACTCGAGGCCGTCACGTCTCTTCTAGTTATCACTCCAAGGAGCTCTGGAGATAGGTCGATCCAGAGGTAAAGGAGAAGCCTAACAGAGATGTGGAGCAATGCAGAGTATATTGGGATGGAAAAGGCACTGTGCTGGGGTCAGAGATCAGTGTCATATTCTGATACTCCCACCTTTGAGACCTGGGAGTCGAAGCTGCTCTGAGCTTCCTCTTCCCTTTTGCAGAATGGAATCATCCACACAGGCCTTGCTGTTGTGAATGCTAATGGTAATGTGCCCATCTAGGAAGCCCTTTTGTTGGTTTCACCTAGTATGTTTTTAGTGCCAGGTTAATACTAAGCATTATTCATAAAGGATCTGATTTCGTCTTCATGACCATTTCATAGCTGCAGAGCTGAGCTTACATGGAGCTCAGGGCCGGCAGTAGCTGGAGGGTCTTCCTCAGCATCCAGAACGGGTCCACCCACCCACTGGACCCCTTCCAAGTTAACCTTCACTCCCCTTGACTTCCACATCCTTTCTGGTCTGCTTCATGTGTGCACCAGTTCCAGTGCCCTTTTCATGACTCTGCTGCCCCTTGTGGTTGCTTCCCTGGCCTTCAGATTCTTCAACTCTGAGGTCTGTTCAGCACTAACAGTCCTTTCACATTCTGTGAATTTTGTGTGCTTATTCCAGCTGTCTTATTGGGATGATTAGTGAATCACTGAAGCCAAAATATTTTCTAATTTATTTAGGGTAGTTAGGTGTCTCTTTGGCATTTCTTCCGATTCAAGAGAGGAAAAAAATAATCAGAGCTTTCAGCTTTAGTTGCCTCTTAAAAACCACGATTAAAAAAAAAAAACAACAAAAAACGGAGGCCATTGTGACATATACTTGTTTCTTAATGAGAATTTTGTTCAGAGATTGTTCTACAGGTCGTAGGAATGATCTTTATGTTTTCTTTGATTAGGAAGGAAATACTGTGTCACCATGTGGTTAGTTATCAATTACTTCAAATTAATGTATATTGGATTTCAAAAGGCAGTAGCCAGAGTTCACTTAGTTACCTGGGCATAAAGAGCAGTTTTTGAGTAATGAGCCCACTTTCTACAAGTGACATGGGCACGTACATTTGTCTCAAAATGACAAGAAATGACCTCAGCAGGGTTAGGTTACTGCAGTGTGGGGAAGAGGCCTATTAACATTATGATTGCTCTCTTTTCCAGTTTTTCCCCTACATCCTGTTACTATTTGCCATCCTCCTGTACCTGCCATCCCTATTCTGGCGTTTAGCAGCTGCTCCTCATATTTGCTCAGACTTGAAGTTTATCATGGAAGAACTTGACAAAGTTTATAACCGCGCAATCAAGGCTGCAAAGAGTGCCTGCGACCTTGACCTGAGAGACAGTGCCTCCGCGGTTCCAGGTGTTAATGAGAGTGCAGCACAAAGGTAACTTATCCCCGCAGCTATCTGGACAGTTTTATAGTTCAAGTCCTCTGCCTTCTGCCAGTCGCGTACTAAAGTTTTTATCGCTAGTAGAAGGGAGAGGGAGGACATCATCCACCTGATGACAGTCTGTAGGAGCCAAGAACGTCTAATCTTCCCCAAACTCACCCCATCCTTCTCCCCCGCAGCACCTGTCCTTCTATTAAGACATCTTTCTTGTTACGTGAGGTTTCACCGCCTCATCTTTTGAAATGCAGTTCTTACAGGGATGACAGGTTAAGCTGTTTGCTTTTTGATGTCTCCATTAACAGAAAAGCACAGGATTTCCAGGCTTAGAGAAAGGATGCAAATTGAGCAGGGAATGAGTAGTTAGTACCATGCCTTTTCACATTCTTCCTCTGGTTCTTGTTATTGACAATAATAATGTTAATTACTATCATTTTTAAGTACTTAGTATTTCCCAGGCTGTGTCAAGTTACTTGAATACATTATTTCATCTAACACTAGAACATTATTAGCTATATTTATTTACCTCCCCCTTCCCTTTTTCTCTACATAAAACTTTCTAGTAGCCATAAGAGAAAGAACTGGAACCTTCACTATGTGAGTGAAGCCCCTAGCCTTGCCCAAACCCATGAGTGTCCCCTGCACTCCACCTGAGAAGGCGTATGTCTCCCATTTGGGCTGAAAATTTCTTTATCTCATGCTGCATACTTCTGTGGAAAATTGTAGTAGAAAACAAGCAAAAGTTTGTATTTAGGAATTGATGTATTTATTTAACAAACATTTAACACTAGGAGTTAGGCATTGTTCTAAGAGTTTCTAAATATTAACTTATTTACTTTCTTTCTTTCTTTCTTTCTTTCTTTCTTTCTTTCTTTCTTCCTTCCTTCCTTCCTTCCTTCCTTCCTTCCTTCCTTCCTTTCTTTCTTTCTTCTTTTGAGACAGGGTCTCAGTAGGCATTTTAGGCTGGGCTTAACTCTTCTATGTAGCCCAGGCTGGCCTCAAACTCACAGTGATCTTCCTGTCTCAGCCTCCCAAGTGCTGAGATTACAGGCATTCATGACCATGCCTGACTTAATTACTTTAAATTATAAAGAGAAATGTATTTTATTATTGCTTTTCTTTTTTACATATATATAAACCTGATTTTATTCCCTAGTATTCCAATGAAGTTATAGGTAGAAGAGTATAGTATAGGTGTTTGAAAATTTCAGGTTGAAATTTCAGATATTGTTGGACTTGTTAATGTCTTTAATATTTGATGGATTTTGTAATGGTCTAAATTATTTTTGTTTCCTTCTCTTTTTAGTTTATGGGAGATATCTGAAAGCCACTTCAAGTACCCAATTGTACAGCAATACTTGAAGACAAAGAAAAACTCCAATAATTTAATCACCCAGTACATCAGCTGCCGGCTGGTAACACTCACCATCATATTGCTAGCATGTATCTACCTGGGTTATTACTTTAGCCTGTCCTCACTCTCAGATGAATTTGTCTGCAGCATCAAATCAGGGATCCTGAAAAATGACAGCACTGTCCCTGATCAGTTCCAGTGCAAACTCATTGCTGTTGGCATCTTCCAGTTGCTCAGTTTCATTAACCTCGTGGTATACGTTCTGCTGACCCCCGTGGTTATCTACACACTGTTTGTTCCATGCCGCCAGAAGACGGATGTTCTCAAAGTCTATGAAATCCTGCCTACTTTCGATGTTCTGCATCTCAAGTCTGAAGGGTACAATGACTTGAGCCTCTACAACCTTTTCTTGGAAGAGAATATAAGTGAACTCAAGTCATACAAGTGTCTTAAGGTACTGGAGAATATTAAAAGCAGTGGTCAGGGGATTGATCCATTGCTGCTCCTGACTAACCTTGGCATGATCAAAATGGATATACTTGATGGCAAAACTCCCATGCAGGCAGTGGCCAAGAGAGAGGAGAAGGAGAACCGAATGGCAGAGCTCAAAGGTAGGGTTAGCTCTCAACAGAGTCTATGGAAGGCCACAGAAGGCTTTGCGTGAACCCTGACCATCATGATCTTGCCTAGCACTTGAGCCATTGTCATAGCATGGTCCTAGCGGGAGATCCAAGGCAGGGAGAGAAGGTGGCACTGCATTAAATTTCCAAAGAAGGAAACCTCTATTTTCTGGTTGTTCTTTCTTCCATCACTCTGTTTCTCTCATACTCTTCCTCTTGCTTCAGCAGTCCTGGTTGTCTTTCTTGCTTATATTTGTTTGATCTTACTGTCTTTTCTTTCTGTACCTCTGGTCCTCTTGTCTGTTGTTCTCCAACTTTTTTCATTTAAAAGGGACTGAGAGTTTGTATCAGTGTAATTGCTGCCTTGACCTGACTTTGCTCTGCTTTGAAATTAGGCTAAAAGTAAAGCAAAGCTTATGAAAAGGATATTTAGCAGAGGAGAAGTTGATTGGTAATAATAGTTTCTGCTATACCTCTTACATAAATATTTGTTTTCAATTTTGACAGATTTGGACTTACACAGTGAAACTAAAACAAATAATGACAAGAATGCTCGACAGAGACTTCTGAATTCGTCTTGTTGACAGTTTTGTTCTTGAACTTCATACCTCTGACTTCCGTGACACCGGAGTCTTTTTGACTAAAGCACTCAATTGGATTCACAGTTGGTTTGCAGTAAATAGTTTTGGTAGTGATAGTGAGCATGTCTTATTGAGCCCCCAGTGAACATAATGGTCTACAAAATTCTATGGAGGGATGGTTTATTAACTCCCTGCAAGAAACACATGGAGATAAGTAAAATGTAGCAAGTATATATGTAGAAGTCCATGTCGTTGAGAAGTGGAAGGACCCAAAAGAGCAGTGAAGAGCCTTTTAGGGCCTCATAGAAGCATCTTACTGGGTCCACATGTGCTGTGATCCAGAGTTTGCAGAGAGCAAGTACTTCAGGAGATTTTTTTGGTTTTTGTGAAATAATAAACATTTTAGGATATAATTTAGTGTGAATCTTTCATGTGCCCTTACTGGTTATTGGATAGTAAGGCTCTTTGGAGTCAGAGGTTGGCCTGCACTCGGCAGGGTCTTAATGGGGTGCCAGTCTGGTGCCTCAGCTCTCATCCACTCGAGCTCTCCTTACTCTCTTGGCACGTTGGCTAATTGCAGTCCACTAACCACTATTTGTTGCACTCTGCCCTGAAGGGCAGCAGGCCTGAGCACTGATTCAAAACTTAGTTAACAAGCTATAATCTAAAGGATATTCAGTTTATACTATTGCTACTTCAGTGCAAGATCGAGTTTCAAAAGAGTCCTGTGAGAAATCAAAATCTGAATTTACAAAAGTTAATTCAGTCACTTTCGGAGAGATTGTCTACAGGGTGCTATCATGGCAAGTGAAATAAGACTTTGCTTAAACTCATTAACAGAACACAATAATGTTTATAGCAAGGAACACTTTGCCTAAAATGAACTGAGCACATAAGTGACATTTGCCTTATGCTTGGAGCCAGAACAGCTTAGCATATTGTTTATATTTAAGTACAGCTTTTAAAATGTATTTTAATTTATACAGTGTCAGAATTAAGGTCATTTGGGAAGAACATTCTAGTATCGATGGAGAATTATCAAATAATGCTATAAATGGATGGATAAGATAAACATGAGCATTATTTCACAGTCCTTTAAGCTAATGAGAACATGTTAAAAACTTTCAGACTGGCTTAACTATGTCCTTATGTTCAAATTTTATACAAAAAATTCTTAACTAATCTGTGAACTATCACATTTTAATTCTAAAAAAGTTCACATATTGCTTAAGTGAACAATTCTCAGGAACTTCAAAGTTTACTCTTGATCCTTAGGGAGAATTGTTTACCTAAGTTTTGTGTATGTGTGTGAAGAACAGAAGTTATATACGCTGTACTCTGCCTTTCGGAATATACAGAAAAGCAGGTTTTATTTTTATTTTGTAACAGTTTCTGAGGTGGAAAGCTAATGATAAATAGCCAAGATGTAATCAGCTTTAAATTATTCTTGTTTACATGATTTTTATTACTGAAGTATTGTGTGACTTAAAAAATGGTGTGGTAACTTGAATTGATTTCATTACATTTTTATATCATTGTATATGAGATGTTCTGTCACAACTTTTTTCTTTTTTGAAATTTGAACAGTGTTGAATTACATTTTTCTAGGGTATGATTTATTTTTTTTCCCAAAAAGCTTCATCTTCCCTGTAGGCTGCCCTAATTTGTATTTTGAAGTGATAAAAGTGAGTATTTTATTTGAGGAGACCAATAACTTTCTAATCCCTACCACGTACAATTCTATCAGTGTTTGTATACTTAGGGTCCTTGGTTCTGCTTTGGTTCATTTTCTTTCCCATCACCCCTGGGAACTCCATTTGGGCCCAAGCTTCCCACTGGGCACTGGCCTTATACATGTGAAATAGGAAAGTCCAATATTTGTGGACCCAACAGTCTAATAAGAGGCAGTAGAGACATCTACAGTACTAAGAGGAGAAAGTAACCACAATAAAGGCCCTATCAGAAAACTAACACGTGGTCATTCTTGGAAGATGTCATATTGTTTCTTTTCTCACCCCTAGTTTTCATAGCTGCTGGTTTTGAGAATTTAATTATAATTTTTCCTAGAGGCAGATGATCCTGTTAATGTTCTTTAGGCATAGATCCTGTAGGTTGAAGTTTACAGACAGTGATTTTGAACAATAAAAGGGCTCAATTGCCTTCTGTCCCTTCCCTTAAAGGGGTTTGGGAAAACAAGCCTGTGGGAACCTGGAGCTGCCGATGGATAACAGTTGTGATTGAAAGGCTGGTGTGGATATCTGGTGATGAATTTTGGCCTGGACAGTTAATTTTCCATCCCAAGTTGTTGACTTGAAGGACTACTCTTGAGAACCAGTCTCCAAGGGCAAGAGGAGTGCTTTATAAGCACTAATGGCTTTATAAAGAGCATACATAGATTGTAAGTGACGATTGCAGGGTCACTGACTTTGTTTCTGGCTCAGGTCTCCCTAGTGAGAAGACTGCTGAACCAGCCTCTGTGGCAGTTGAGAGTAGAACAAATATTCGGAAAGCAGTGTGAGCAGACAAAAGCCTCCAGCATAGAGATTCTTGAACTTTTTGCAGTTACAAGCCCCCTTGTAAATATTTTTAAAGCTATGGACTGGTATCCTCAGGAAACACACCATTTTAAATGTTCTCCAGCAGTGGTTACAGCCTGTGTATATGGGGCTGAGATTTATTCTAACAGCCAAAGAGAATGGGGCTGCTTCTGTCCATGAGAAAGTCAGGAATGAATTACCTTCATTTTCTAGAATCAAACTGAGGAAGTTCAATAATAGGACGGGAAGCAGTGGGCTGAAAGGCCAAGCTCCCACTGTTAACTGCTGTTATTCCCTGGCTAACGCCTTTGATCATGGTCTCCATTGAATTATCATTCAGAGTAGATCGAAAGTCAGTTTTTATCCATTGTTCCATCACCAGTTCCTAAAAGAGTGACCAACACACACTAGGCTATAAATATTTGAGTGAATGAACAAATCATGTTAGGATAAATCCTAGTTTGTTGGCAACATAATTTCATTTTTAAAAGGCACATAGTCCTCTGCAGGAGAAAAGAGAAAGGGATACTCATTTGGCCTCTTGGTAGAGAGAGGAATATTTTGGCAAATGAAGCTTTCCACTGTAAGAAGTAACAGTACTGAGCTTTTTATTGTGGGGTGAGTTATGACTATTTTTTAAGTTTAGTGCAAATTCAACATTGCCTTGTGGTTAAAAAAAAAAAAAATTGAAGTTTTAAAGGTCTCGGTCTCTAAATCCCCAGAATAAACTTCTTGAATGGAGATGTGAATTGAAATGTGCAATTACCAGTAATTGAGATTTTATCTGAGGGCATTGAGATGTAGTGGCTCTTTTAGGGCACTCTTTGGCATTTTGCCCCTACCTCTTTTTTTTTCAAGTACAGTGAAACTTTTTTTTTTTTAAAAAAAAACAAGATATTGACACAGATGCTATTGTGTCATATGTGGAATGTAACGTTAATTTGTGATTGGTTTTCCCCGCATGCTTTAAATTAAATGTATTGCTTTGGTGAGTAAGTCCCCTTTTTAAAAGCTGTAAAAATACTTTGTTACTAAAGCATGTAATTTGATCAGTAATTGTCTTCAAGTTCTTGTAAGTTGTCTTTTAAGTTATCTTGGGGTGCTTTTTTCTCTGCTCACCAGAGAAGAAAAATCCTTGAAGGATTCTACAGTGTTACAAGCATTCCCCACAAAGTCTGAAGTAATCGGCTCCTCCTTAACAGTTTGTGTTTTTAAGGTACCATAATTAGAATTTGATGACATTCAGTAGAGTGGTACTCTGTGTAAGTTAAATTCTTTTTAGTGACTAAATTTCTTCAAAACTTTTGAAAAAAAATCTGTATGTTATTTTTGCTGTGTCATTTTGCGAAAATGCTGCCAATAGAGGAAGAAAGACTAAAAATTAAGATCATCTTGGATTTTATTTTACAGTGATCTGAAGATGAGTACAAATGATGGTTAAGAAATGACCCTTTTGTGCTGAGGATTTAGCTCAGTGGTTCCTCACAAGCACAAGAGCCCGAGTTAGATCCCTAGTACCAAAAAAAAAAAAGAAAAAAGAAAAAAGAAAAAAGAAAAGAAATGACCCTTTCAAAAACACGAATTTTTTTATAGCTGTCACTGTTATATTTCATACTTCCATATGAGTTACCTGGCCATGCTCTACATTCTGAGCCTTCTGTCTTCCATTTAAAGTAAGATGAAAGGCTCAAAGTTAAGGCTGCTGTATCTGCAGAAAAAGTTTTAGTTCTACATTATGGTGTCCACCTAAATAAAACTTCTCTGGGTAATAAAAAGTGTGTTAGTATTTTTTTTCCCCTTTACAAAAGTCATTTCACAGCAGATAATAACGAGACATGAGTTCTGAAATGTCTGGAGGCTGATTGATGAATAAAATTTAGTAGGCTCCTTGGTACTTGATAAAAACCAGCTAGCAATAACTAAAGGAAGATAGTACTTGATTAAAGGTCCATACAGTCTGGGATTTCTAAAGCAGAAATCACATTCTTTCTGAGAGTTGCTTCCTGAGTTTAGGAAGGAAGGGATAGGGACCATGTACTGCTAAACATGAATGTCATGCCCACTTTGCACAATGGCTAATTAATGTAATTTACTGTTGTGGGATATAAACCAGGGCCATGCAAAAATCTTAGCACAGTTTCTAGCATATATTAAATGCTCCATATAGGCTATTTTCATTTATCATCACTATCTTTTCCCTGGTTGTTTCCTAAGGTGGTGTCATTGATATCCCTGGGGACCTTGGGTATTCTATTTATTTTCTATTCTCCATAGAAGGCTACTGCAAACTTAGCAGCTAAAAGTAACATAAATTGCCTTGCAGTTTTCTGTGTCAGGACTTTGGACACAGCAGAGGCGAAACATAGCAGAGACAAAAGTGATCTGTTCAAGATGTGGGCAGCATGTGTTCTCATTTGGAGGCTCAACTGTGAAACCTGCTGCTGCTAAACTGCCTGAGGTTGTTGGCAAAATTTATTTTTATTCAAGATCAACTGATTTTAGACCTTAATATTCCATCTGAAGAATCCCTGTACCCTTGCCATGTTTAGTTGATTAGAAGCAAATCTTGTCCATACTCTAAGGGAGAAGATTGTGTAGGGCACAAATATTACAGGAATTGGGCCACTTTCCACTCCATCTTCCATAGACGTTATCCTAAATTGCAACCTGTCTGTTGGAGACCAGATCCTTTACTTCCTCAACATTCTTCCCAGGCCTCTCTCTATTCCTAGTACAATCTTTCAAGCCCTTGTCTCTTTCCTGAATTCCCCATAACAGTCTCACTGTGTCTAACCCATCTTCCACATTTTTGTCATTGGACTTTACGAATGCGAATTTGTTTTTGTTTTTTGTTTCTGTTTGGTACTAGGGATCAATAGATTGCAGATTTGTTATTGCTAACCCTCTGCCACCCTCTTCATCACCACTTTTAAATCCCTTAGGACTCTGGACTTTAGCATGAAGAACAAACTTTGAGTCTAGACTATAGCAGACCCTACCTGCTATCTATCCCTTGAGGATCAAGGGATGCTATCCCTCCTGTCACTAACTAATACAGCCATATTCACTGTTACTGAAAGGCTTCTGCTTCTCAGGCACTCTGCTCTCCCCACTTCCCCCTACCTTCTATTCAAAGTCAACTCCAACATTCCCTTCAGGACATTCTTATGCCCTCCCCATCCACTTGCCCATATTTAGATGTCCCTCTTTTGCCTGCTGCTACACATTGCCTCAGTGCTTGGCACCCATGGTATTGCAGTGGCCTTTGTGTCTGTACCTTCTGTCAGCCTTGGAGACCCTTCCTCATCTCTGTGTTCCCAGTACACCCTAATACCCAGACACAAAGGGATTCCTTATATCAGTGGTAACAAACCTATACCACGCATGCTGCAGTCGGCTGTTATGAAAAGCTCCAAAAGATTTGCCATCACTACGAACCCTCAACCCAAAGAACAGTGCTGAAAATGCCCACTTTAGAGGTGTATCATTTTAGAAGTAAACTTTCCCCTGGGTCAGTTGTCCATTTTCACCACACTCTAAATTGAGTGCTTAACTGGGACCTTTATGAAATACTGCTGAGTAGCTTTCCCTGGCAATTGTTTTTTCCATCTACATCTATACTAATTTAAACCCAAATAGCGGGCCTCACTTTATTATCTAAAGGCTCTAACATACACCACCCTTTAGAGTGCAGTTGGGTGTGTCACCAGATGGGGTCTAAGGAAGTCCCTTAAAGAAGAGATAGGGATCTCACTCACCCTACCCATGGGGTAAATTGTAGATTTGCTGACTCCTATCGCAGAGATAGAATTTTCAGAATACATAATCAGAGGCACAAAATCTACTTGGCTGCCCATTTGGAACAGGTTGAAACTGTTATTATGCTTTATGTTTAGATGTTTTCCAAAGCCTTATGAATTCATAGGCTTTTAAAAGGTGATTGAATCCTGGGATGTTATAGCTAAATGTAATGCTAGGAGAGGCAAAGAGGCAGGCCTGCTAGGGTGTGTCTCCCTCCCTTATTCCT